ATTTTGCTACTTTTGATAAAAGCTTCTGTGATTTTGTAGCAATACTTTTAGACTTGTATTCATACACCACTCACTGCCATAGGGCGGATGCTGACTCACAGTGACCATAGAGGACAGGGTAGAATTGTCCCTGACTTTCTGAGACTAAGTGTTAACAAAGTAGAAAGCCCTGTCTTTCTCCTGCAAAGTGGCCGGTGGTTTTGAACTGCCAACCTTAAGGATCACAGTCCAATGTGTAACCACTGCACAAATATACATACACAGATCTAGGTATACTATGTAATATATACTCTATATATGCATACACACATATAAAGGGGCTTCAAAAAGTTGTGGAAGAATTCCACTATCTCCTGAACTTTTTTGAAGTATATCTACATGTGAACTATCCCAGGGTATTACAGTAAGACAGGTGGACACAGATTCAAATTCTGAGTTGCCATATTTAGCTTTATAACTCGTCTCTTTCCACTTCCTTGTGATTTTTTCCTTTTTTTTCTCTGAAAATTAATAAGACTAAGAAAATGAAAGCCTAACTCCTCTAAACATTGATATTAAAGTATCTGGAAACTGGTGAATTTATATCAGTCCTTCCCTCATTCCCCCAGGCATTAACTGTGCACCTATTGTGTACCTAGCCCTGTGCAGGTGTTGGGATAGGGGGTGGGGGCAATGACAGACAGCAATGCCCTGTCTGGGAGTTGTGTACCTCTCTTTCTCCCCAGGAAGATGCCGTCGACTGGGACCCCCCTGGAAGCACCTGGGGAGCAGCAAGAAGGCCAGAATGAGACCAAGCCAGGGGGTGAGCAGGAGCTGCTGCCTCCCACGGTCCCGGTAACGTCTGGGGGGCTGCAGCAGCGGAGCGCAGAGGCTGAGAATCAGCAAGGCAGGCAATCGAATCCAAGGTCCAAGGAAGACCAGATTCCTGGGCTTTACCAGGTAACTCCACCCCCGCCCCCAGAAAATGTGGTCAGGAGGGTGTGGAATGACTGATCCACCAGGGAGGT